ATATAATCTATTCATTAAAACTATGCTTATAAGATTCATAAACTACTGATTAAAACTATGCTTATAAGATTCATAAACTACTGATTAAAACTATGCTTGACCTTGCTTGGCACATGAAGCATCATTGAACCATGCAGTCTTAATACATTCATTACTCAACATTATTTCCTGTCTTGGTTCTTTGTAGTTATGATTTGGATTTCATGGCCTCCAAGCCCAGCCCAGGTGTGTACACGGTAACAGTCAACGTCAAACCACAGAAAGAAGACAAGCGCTTGATTGGTACTTCTGGTGCCCAGGTAAATACGAAGGCAAACTTGACTATATGGGAATGATATACTGCTGTAGGATGGTCTTTCTACTAAATGATTATTTATCAACTTTATTAAAATACTAGTGAAATACACTTGTACACTATAGAATATGTAAAGGTAATCATATGCGGCCAAGGAAAATTAAGGATTAATTTCACAGGTGTTTTCAGAGTTTGGAAATTGTCTGAGTCACAACAAAACTCAACAAAACAATTCCATGTCTTCCAAGTATGTGTGAATATATTTGATATATTTTTCCTGCAGCTCAAGGTGAAAGTAGTAACCAAGGTTACCATGGGAAAAGTAGACTTGTCTCTTGTCGACAAAGAACATTCTCACACTGTCAAATCCTTGAGGTATGGAACATGATAGTTGACTATTGTTGGCATATGTAACTGTTTCATTTTGAAGAATTATAATGTTTTATGTAACTTATATTTTACAACCATCATTCCCCATAAAAGACTCTTCCCTCTATACCCACTACTCTCACTACCAGCTGAGCGGTGAATTCTTGTTTCAGCCTATTACAGCCCATTTAGCTGTTTTGCCGCCAGCCCTCAGGCTACTGTTACCAAAGTTTTGCATATTTTTCTGTTTTCTTCTTATGTGCCTACAAGAAGCAGAAATAATTATAGTAAAGAAGAATAAAGATAACTTAACTTTACCACCATGTTTTCTTCGCTTTTTCAAGCTCCAAAATTGCTTAGGACCAGTCATTTTGTCCTCTCATTCTTTACGTGCCTTKTTGAATGCTCAGCTGGTATTTACAACACACAAAACTAAGAAAGGGGGGAAGAAAGATTACACTATGATTTGTTCTTTTTCGTAATCTGCAGCACCAACTACCCAAACAAGTTTGATAAGACCATTGAAGCTGACTTCCACCAGAAAATAGTCATGAAATTTGCCATCAAGAGTGAGGCTGGACAGCTTCTAACCCCACACCAGGTACTGTAAACCATGGTTTTGTCTCCAATACTTGTTAATACCTATCAGACAAGCATTAGTATAATGTCATTACTGCTGTTTGTCTATAGTCTGTACTTCTTTCAACACTACTGTCACCGGAAAAAGCTGTTTTATTTTTATTTTATTTTATTTTTTTACATAGAAGAGAAATAATCTGTTGTTTTCAGTGCAGTTGCTTTGCAAAGCAGGCTGAGTGTACATTAATGGCACCAGCACCATGCTTTGTTTACTAATACAGCACAGTTCTCAACCAATCAGAGCATCGTACTATTAAAGCTATATAATAACTATTTTTACAGTGATTTGATTGCCATTGTATGTTTTGTCTTTGGCTAGGCCTTTGTTAGACTGACAAACCAGAAGACCAAACAAGAAATTTTCTTCGTTCCTGAACCAGACTCAAGCAAAATGTACAAATTTGATCTGGTAAGTACTACAGGATTTTTTTTACTAAATGTGAAGATTTAGTAAGATTTTTGTGACACAAATTACTACAAACATTTTGGCAGCCATTTTATGAAGACATCAAACCTCATGTCACTGCTGGAGAGGAGACTCGCCACCCTATCTAGACAAGAGCACGCCTAGGCCAGAAATTTATCTAATGCAAAATAATAATGATGATGATGACTGCCATGATAATGCATTCAAATTTATTCAAACGTCCTTTGCACTAGTCTTGATAGAATTCACCAGTAAATGAGACTAAACATCTCAGAGTTACTGGTGACGCAGGACCTGTGCTAGATTAACTATCTCTCTCCACCAAGTCTTTTCTGTTACCATGAGAACGGCTTGACTAGATGTAGATTATATTTAAGACTTGTCGATATAATGTCATGACGTGTCTTCCTGTATAAATAAGATTTGTTGGATAATTTTTGATTGTTCCTCTTGTCCGACAGGATCTTGGTGCTACTGCTAAAGACTCTTTTGCCTACAGATCTGGAAAGTATGATATGGTAAGTTTAATGTTTTCATGAATGTTATTGATATTTTAATCCTTTCAGAAAGAAAATTAACAAAATATTGAGTAAAAATTCCTTTTAGGGAATGTACGTTTTTCCTTGGGAGGTCATCAGTAAAAAATATGAACTTTTGTGGAGGGTCAAACTTTTTTTTTTTGACGAAATCTAATTCCTTGTTGATTTGATAGGAGGGTCATGGATTCCTTGTGAAGACTTTGTATGAACCGGGAAAACATTATGCCCAAGTTAAAAAGAGTCTTTTATTCAGACTTTGTAATCGACAGTGATTTGCGATCCCTTTATTTTTGTTATGTACCAGTTGTCAGATATCAGCTACTTGTTCTTTCCTTGTATAGGATATTGTTATTGGTGATGCAGTCATCCAGAACCCCTTTGAGTGGTCAGCTGTAAGTAGAATATCATGATTATCAATTATTATTAGTGCTACACAGGGCTCAGAATAAGGGCCGGTCCATGGACAATGTCTGGCCAAATTAGCACTTGTCCAGCTAAACACCTTTTAGGTCAGTCCTCTTGACTGGTCATATTGATGGTCACATGTTGAGCATTCTAATGTGGCTGGTCGTTATGTCCAGTCTTTGAAAAGTCATTATTATTTGCCCTGTTGAGGAATTTTCTAAAAGAGGGAAAGTTGCCCTATCTAAAGGACCCTGTAATCCAAGATACATCCAATACATACAGTGTCAACAATCATTTTATATTCCAGATTTTTGAAAGTACAAGACCACTAATGTAGACCCTAAGAAAGTACACTTAGTACTGCTGATAAACCTAAGAATCAAAAGTAGTTCATCCTACTCACCTTTACAAGAGTATTTATGATAGGCTTATGAAAAAAGATTATCCATAATTATTATAAATAATTTCGTTTTCCTCCCAGTGTCTTCTTTCATTGACATTTGGAGAACAGCCACCAAAAGCCAAGAAAGAGAAACAAACAATGTACTCAACCAAACCACAAATAGATGTAAGTATTCAACAACATGTTTTTAATTTTCCATCATAACATTCTCTGATCTTCCTGAAAACATTATCCTTCCTAACAGCATACATAGAATGTTCAGTTGAAAAACCTAAAATAGACCTTTGTAGGTCATTTACTTCAATGAACTTTTGTTGTTTTTTTTCACCTCTGTATAGTAGATGTTTAAATAGACCTCCTCGGCTTGAATGTAATGTTTTCCCATTCCAGACCACATGTCATTCCCTAGAGTATCGTTTCTTTGTTTAACTCTTGCACTCGGTTGCACATGAGAAGGCACATAAATATTGTTACAACTCAAACAAAGAATCTTATTCTCAAAGGAATGACACGTGGTCTGAAATGGGAAAACATGCCATTTTTAATCCTATTTTCATAAAAATGTGAAATCGCTAGCGTCAAGCTGCTCGCTAAATTTGGTTTTTCACTGCCATCAATCAAAACTAATCAGTAGGTACCTTTCATATTTTTATTGGCAGCAGCAAAAAACTAAATTTCAGTGTGCAGCTCAAAGCTACTGAGTTATCATGTCTGTGAAAATGGTAGTAAAGAATGTGATGAGTTTGTTGGTTACATGAGTGTGTTTTTTGATTGACAGCATCAGTTCCGTGTACCAGAGAAGCGTCCTCCCCAGACTGTATCCACAGCATTCACTGTACTCGTCTTCGTACCCCTTCTCATCATGTTTGTCGTGGTAAGATCCTTATCTTTCTACAGCAGCATGCAAATTGAAAAGCTTAGGCCTAACACTTGCACCATAATCATAGCACATTGTCAGTGATGCAGTAATGTAGATGCATTGCAGCCCTTCTCTATCAGGCGTAATGATACATTAGAGTGATTTTCCTCAGACCCTAAAACAGTTTCTAGTTCACTCTTGTGACTCGAGAGCAATATAATATGCAGACACATTTCATGATGGCTTCATTTTGAATATAGCTACCAGAAATGCTTTGCGAATTTTCTTATTAATGAAACAAATTCATTTAACTTTTTGACCCCCTGCATTTTTGTTGTAGTGGTTTAAAATTGGGGCCAATATCTCAAACTTTGGATTTTCTCTCAGCACTATCGTGTTCCACATTGGTCTAGGAGGTAAGTTCTGTCAAAATAGAAGTCTCTTAGTTTGCGTTTTTAGTATTTCACGACTGCCTTTGAGAGCATCACCAAAAGCATTTACAAGGCATTCCTGGAAAGGGAATGCATTGTGGTCTACAATCTTGGACAAAAGTAGTTGAGAATTTTTCATCCTATCATGCAATAGTACAACTTCTCGCATTAAAAGCTGTTTGATTGACTGCACCCCCTCTCCCCCAGGACAATGTTGGCCCCAGTAGGTAGAACAGCCCTGTCTCCCTGTTAACAACATTGTTTAGGTGTGGAAGGGGGAATTTTTTATGTTTTGCACGAAAATATCCATTGAGACTTAAAATTTCTCACAAATTTTTGTCCTAGATCGTAGHTTGGGTACAAACATCCTTTGCCCATAATGCCTTATATGGTGTTGTTTGTACCCAAACTAGACCACAATGCCTTCTGGTTATCAAACTCTGACACAGTTTTACTTGTTTAATCAAGTTAACTAATTTTGCTTTCTGCCTTTCCCCCCAGCTATTTTCGCATTGTATTACTACTTCTGGATTAAACTGGTATGTAATGAACTGCCATATGGTACAATTTAAATAAAGATAGGGTAAATAAAGATAGGGCATACACCATAGTTGATTCAACTCTAATGATGGTATGTTTTTTAAACAGGACATGTTCACTACACTTAAAGTGCTTGCTGTAATCGGTGGAATAACCTTCCTTGCTGCCAACAGTCTACTGAGTGGCATAGCTGCTCGTAGGTAAGAAACACCACTACTATACTATACAAAAAAATGAACTTGAGTTTTGCAAAACTGATCTAAGTCAGGGCATGGGTAACTCACAGAT